TCTTGCCCTCCACAGTGTTTGCCGGACAGTTTCCTCAGGCAACATAACTGCATTTGTGATTTAATCCATTTGCAGGAAGCGTCACCCAAATCTTCATGTTCCCTTTTGTCTGTGATTGTTCAAGGACCTGAGGGAAGAGTCAGTCAGATTGTAGTTACCCTCAGCCAGTGGGATGCCATGGAGGAGAGCAGAAGGGAGGATAAACGAGGTAGACGTTGAAGTTAAAGGGCTAATCACATGGTAATTTCAGTGCCTAAAAAATGACCAGTTCTGTCTTGGAAATACTTTGTCAATGGTGAACCTCAGGGATCACCTGGTTTACTGATACCTTGTACCTATTTTGGCTAAAATCTGAATTACAGCGTTACATACCTGTTCTGTCTGGGTGCCTAGAACCCCCCACTCTTCACAGCAATGAGTGAAAAATGAATGCATATTCCAGGCTGTTACTCAGTTGTAATTCAGGTCTCATTTCCAGGAAGAACAGGAAAGTGTGCAATGGCTCTTATGCCAATGCCCAATTCTTCTTTAAAATTATGTTTGATTGTCCCGGTCTTTTACATTTACAGTCCCGGTCTCACTCATACCCTCTTTGTTTATACATTAGAATTGCATTGTCTTTTTTTTTTCTTTTTCTCCTTTTCTTCATGGGAAGTTTCTTCATGCTGGCATTTCTGCCAGACGTAGTTTGCTCAAGGAAAAAAACCTTTAGGTCATGTTTGAACAGGTCTCTAAACCAGCTGTCCTGGGGCTTTTGATTTCTGATCCAGATCACTGCACAGGTAGAGTATCCATGTATCTTCACTCCACATCAGTTTTTTGCTATTATTCAGGCTTCCCTGAGGCTTCTCTTGTCTTGAAAATAGCATCAAGTCATTAAATATTTTGAATTTTTTTTTTTATAAGATGTATCTATCAGGTTATGAACATGGAAGTTTTATCCAGTAATGCTGAATTGAGTTGTTACAAGTAAAAATTTTACCTTGGACCATTTTGTAAATTTATCTTTATAATATATGTCACTGTACATTGTCTTTTATGCTAAATACAGGGTGAAGAGAAGAAAGTACCTGAAAAGGCTCTTCATGCTCCTGTGTCACCTTCATCTGTACCTGATCATATGAAGTGCAACATCCTTAAAGCTCAAGTGGAAGCTGCTTTTAGAGTAGGCACCCAGGTAATCTGTGTTTAATATTTCACTTTTCTACTTTTGGCATAGCTTACACCAATTTTTCAAAATCATGTTGTTCCTGAGGAAGCATCTTATTTTAACTCAAGTATCCATGTTGACCTAGCTTTCTCTAGCTGTTCTGCAGTTTCTTCAGGTAGATCAAAATGATTGATGCAATGGAAGTAGGAAATTTGTCCAAATTGGCATGATTAATACAGCTGAAAGAGGCTGAGAAAACAGGAGAGAAGGCCCCAGGAAATGCCCATGGTTTGATTTTGTCACTGTAGCTTTTACTTACTTTCTAGCTGAGAAACAATAACCTCTGGAGTTTTCTGAGGATACTCACCACCTTATCTGTGCTTAAGGATATTCTAAAGATAATACCTATGCTTCTGGAGGCAACCTTTAGAGGATTAACTTTAGATACCTGAATGTGATATGTTATCTGAATGTGAAATGTTAGCTAGTCTATTTTTTCTTAGTTGTTCGTGTACTTCTAAATTGTAAGCTGCTCTTTTCACTGCTTGGTCAGTGTTTACATGAGATACATCCTGTTTCTAAAAAACAAGTCTTGAAATGATGTCGCGCAACTGAAAACTGCTGCTAGATGTCATGACTGTAAAAAGTTAATTTTCCAATCAGAGATAAATCTTAAGTGAAACCTAAAATGTGATTCTTTTCAAGTGTAATTTGTGGACAAAAGATGATGTCATTGGTGCCAAAAATAAAGCCAAATATAATGCTTTAGGAGCAAAAGTAGAGGCAGAAAGATTGGTATGACTCCTATCCCAAGTTCCTGTGATATCCTTAGGCATACTTTTCTCTTTGAACACAAATCTTGTTGGTGTTTCCACTGCTTTGTTTCTTTTCACAATAACATATCAGGTCAACTTGCCCTGCAAAGGATATTGTTAACAATCAATCATCTTTGTGTATTTTTTGTTGCTTGGCAGATATTTCATCTGAGAGCTAGATTACATCTGGTCTAGCTAGACCTAAGGGAGTATCAAAATTTGGTTATTCTGACTGCCCTAGATTTCAAGAACAGAAACCATAAATCTGACAGCATGTGGGGGAAGGAGGCTGGGGTTTTCTTTTAGCTTTTGCTTAAAGCAGTTCTCTCACCTTTCTGAATTCTGTGTTGTATCAACTGTGCTACATACAGCAAGTTTCTTGTTCGATTGCCCTTGGGTTTGCCTTCTCTTCTTCCTGCGTGTCATTTCCACAAGATGCCATGGTAGATTTCTCACATTTGTATTTTTGTTTGTATTCATGTTTGACTGGACAGTTAAAGACTAGAAGCAGTGTGTGCTGCTGCGTTCAGAGTACTGCATTACTAAAGCAAGATGGGGAATGTGCTTAAGATATGCATCTCTCAATTCACCTGCCCTGTCTTACCTTCTCACATTGAGACTTTCCAAGGGAGAACATACTGGGTTGCTTTCTCACAGGTGCCACGACCATGTTGTTTAGCTGCTGCTGCTACTTTGTAAATAAGTTCTGGAGCAAACCGAGCATCCCTTTTTCCTTCTTACCTGTGGTGTTCTGCAGAAGGCTTTAGCAGTCAGATGGGATTAAGTTGGTGTCTGTAGGCTTGGCCTCAATGAGAAAAGTCTTACTATTTCAGGGAAATAGGGGAAGGCAGGAAAAGAAGACTGTTGTGGGATAGCAGGTATTATGGAAAAATAATGGCATGCGGTTCAGTTTGAAATCCCTGAAGCTTTCAGTGCTAGCAAAGTATGGCTTAAGAGTTATAGCCAGTAAATTAGGATGTCACTTTCATGTTGGAAATCCTCATTCAACTCTGTGCGTAGCGACAAAATTGCCTGTGCAACTAGAGAGGAGTTCTGCACTTGAGCTCCCCTCCTGTCAAGTATGAAAGATTACCCTTCTCACCCACATTGCGAAAATAAGTAGGCAGAGACCAGGCAATGGTCACCTATTATAGTAAGAAGCTGTGGCTGTACAAGTGCTGGGAAGAGCAGGCAAAACCTGCATGGTGAAGGAACAAGGAGAAACACGCCGTCTGTCACCTAGAAGGCAGGAGGAGGGAAGAGGGCTGCACGAGACCTACTGTACCTGCATACCGTAAGGCCACCCAGATACCTTCTTCCCCTGCCCTCGTTCATTCCCTTTCCCCTGCCCCCAAACAACTAGATGAATACCAGTAGCTAAGCCATTTCCCAGTGGCAGTTCAGTCATCTTCTGGGAAAAGCAAGCTGGGATGGCATTACCCTCCTCAGTGACACTTACAGCATCCTTTTGAGGAGCAGATAAGAAATTGTTTCTTCATGGAAGACAAACATTTAACTCCATGTATTCCTCTAGGGCTGTGATCTTGCCCCTCTTTGACCCCATCTGACATGTCCCTCTGCCCAGTAGATCTGGAGGACTAGCCATGTCATCCCAATTTTGTCTTTTGATGCCAGTTGCAAATTATATCCCTGAGAAGTCCTGCCTTCTAGCCTTATTCTTAAAACCCAAATTTCTCATCTGTTTTCTGTACTGTCATATTTCAACTTACAGGGCAGCCAGGACAAGAACTATATCTAGGTTCTGTAAGGCACAGCCTATATTCCTCAAGCTGTAAAGCAAGAAAGGCTGATTTTCCTAATGCACATCATAGATCTTCCTTTATTTCAGGGTATCACAAAAAAAAAAAAGATGAGTATTTGTTCCTCTCTAATTTGTAAAAGGAAGAAAGAACCAGACTCTATCCTATGCACACAATATTTGAAATGAAATGTTCTTTTAAAGGCCCCAAAAATCTATGGTCTAACTTGTCCTTTATGAGACTTCACGGGGCGTCTTCATTATACAGTTAAGTGCAAAAACATGAAAAAAATATTAGTGCACCATAGGATCAGTTCCAAAATTAACAAACTGTTGTTTGAAGTATTTGTAACAGCTCTCTCTCTAAGCAGTAGGAATATTTTCAATACCATATGCTACTAACATCAGGATGTGACAAGTTTATGAAAGCACTTCCTGCATGTAGTAGATGAAGAAGCTGTTCCTTGTTAATTCTGAGAATGGAGTGAATGTTTGCAAGTGGAAAATATAAACTGGGAGAGAAATTTCTTGTAGTTTTCTTTCTTCGTGGCAGCTAGATGCCAACACAAGAGAAAGCCTTGCAAGTTAATGACTAAAGCTTATGATTTCAGAAATAAAATCAGGGGAAATTATGCAATATATTTGAAAAATATATTCTGGAAGGTGATCTCTGCTCTACTTCATTTCATAATTATTCTGGAGAGCTGTTTACCACACTCCTGGGGGGCAATACACCATCCCCTGTGGCTACAGTCCTGACTTAGAGACCAAAAATTTGTAAATTTATGGTGCCGATCGCTGAGCCCTGCAGGTGGTTTAGAGTTACAGAGCAGCAGGAAACTCACACCAGTGAGTTTGTTTATCTGGTGAAGATAGAAATATTTCTGTACCATTCTGCTAGCTGGAGAATCAGAACTGCGATGTGCATGGGGGTGCTGGAAGCTGGACCCAGAGCATGCTGCCACGGGCTCCACAGGTGAGCAACGTGAGGAACCCACAGAGGACTGTGGGAGCCTGTGGTCTGCAGAGGGCATGCCAGACAGCATCTGCAGCTCTAGAGCAAAAGAGCAGCGTTTCACAACACACCTTTCAAACTGTGCCACAGCAATCTATCACCTTCTAGCTGACAGACCCCATGTCACAGTTCCCAGATAATTAAGCTCCAGGGGAGCACTAAACGCTGGGAAGCAGCTGACATCTTTTATTCTTGCCTTTTTCTTTCTTCTTTTTTTTTTTTTTTTCTTTTTTTTTTTTTTTCTGCGTTTATTCCAGACTCTTCATTTGAGAGGGAATGGTATACAGCAGTAGTGAGGAGCTGCCAGAATACAAAAGACCAGCTCTCCCTGGCGTTTCAAACCCCTTTGCAGCTTGCATGAGTCAGTGCTGATACTTGTTAGTATCACAGAGTCGCGTTTGCCAAACAGTTCACAGCCCAGCTGATGGAGGGAAGATACTAGCAGGTTTCGGTTGCTATTTATATCCGTTTTGGCTCCAGGCAAATCCTAATTATCCTGATAATTAAGCACAGGCTCCTAAGCAAATGTACAGCTATCTCAGCAAGGCTTTTTCTTTTGGCGGGCAGCATGTGTTGTGTTCTCGTAGTTTGTCTTCTACAAGTGGTGTTTATATTCTCCACCTGTTACCCAGGTTTTCCTAAATCCTTGAGTTGATGTGAGTTTAGCAGGTCAGCACAGGGAAGGAACTGAGATCCTGTTTCTACAGCAGCTGATCTGTGCATTACTCACATCTCCCTCTGCAGATAAAGGAAGGCCAGGCTCATTTTTAAGACATATTTTTGCAGCGCAGTTTATGGTAGATAAACAAAGGTGACATTACTACCCAGCCGTTCTTCAGTGAACACTATGGGTGGTTTGTTCAGAGAAAAGGTGGTGGGAAAAGGTAGTTTGGAGATATGGAGTTCTTTACAGAGAGCATAGAAAATCCCATTCGCTTCTGCCTTATCAGCCCCAAGGGAAACTCTTGGCTGGCAAGAGGTATCTTTTATTAGCTATAAGCCAGGTTTGGGTTCTTGAGCAATTGATTCCCCTCCCTTGATTCTCTGTAAACAAAGGGACATTTACACTGAACAAAGGGATGTTCAGTCCTCTAGCCCTTTTCACACACTGGCTTTCTTCACAAGCTTATATACATGTAAATTTTTAGGCCAGGTCGATAGCCATCTTTCTTTTTCCTCCCTGCCCTAGAAATGAGTACAGATGGAGAATCATATCGGTTTGCTTTACGAATTGCAAATATGTGAGTAAAAGGGTAGGTTGCTTGTGCTGTCTAGAGCTGCCCCGAGGAAAGGACTGAACTGTGGTCCAGGAAATGTCTGAGGACATGCTCAGTTAGGGGTGTCATCCTGCAGCCTGTGCCCCCTAGATAGATGCAAGCCATGGCTGCAAATGTAAATGAGACTGGGATCTATGTATTATTTATGGTAGAAAGGTGCA